CCTATTGCAGAATCATGAAGAGGGACGAATCCAACAAAGAAAAATGGTTACAACAATCCTGCAAGATAGAATACCTTTGACTGAAGGTTAAAAGGCTATTCATAGGCTTGACAGCGTATAATAGAAAGTTATTCATTTTACTACACTGTATTCTACACCGACTCTCTGGCGTACTGAACAATATTAGTGATACGACTCTAAAAGCTATAGCTTTGCTTCATAGTCAATACGATTTCACAGTCTACATAAAGGTTCTGAGCTATCACATGGCTCACAAACTTACACCTATACATATCGTTTACACATACTTGCCAAACGCTAGAATAGCAAGTAGTAACCCAACCATGCACTCAGGGCAATCCCCCCAGTCTTTTGACTACCCTCCGGAGGGCCCTCCTGAGATGTAATTTTGTTGTAAGTGAACAAAACAAGCTCCCTTTTCTGAGAAATGCCACGAGAGCTGCCATAACACTGACTGACACTATTGGGGCCATCAACCGCCCAGAGAACACAAAATGCTTTTACCACCTCAAACCGGATACATCTCTAGTGTGGCAATAGCACTGGGAGGTGTGGATCAGCATCCTTCAGATTTACCAAAGTGAGCTATGTGCCTTCTGAATGGAGGCGAGAGTTTCTATGTTGCATATCTGAAGCTTCATGAACACATTCAGACCCTTTGATTTTCGATAATAATGGCATACCTGTCTGGGAACAGACTATTGCCTGAAGCTCCAAAACACTCTCAACTTTCGCCTGCCCAACTGTGTAACCACCACTTCCAACGGAAAAGGACTCACGTGAGACTCCAAACTCTAACCCCTCCACAACTCACGTAGTACCCATTTGTCTGTGGTTGACCTTATCCAGATCTTGACTTAAAGCTTTCGTGACTGCAGGGATTCATATTCTTTGGGTCTTTTGGTAAAGTCACGTTTGAAATGGGCGTAGCCCAAATGTCAGCAGCCAATGTTAATGCGAGTGATGGACAGCCAAACCGACGGTGGTTGGTTTTCCACCAATCAAAGGGCTGCCAGGTGAAAATTAGCATGTTAATCGAGAGATTAGCTCATGATTGTGGAAATATTTTTAGTGACCCTTGCTATGTATGGCAAGGTGATGGTTTTAATTGGGTCCTTAGATGGTTATTTCCCAACGGTTGAGGTGATAATTTAATCTATCAAAATCATGAGCAAACACAAGATCCAGGTTAGATTTAACACAGTTCGTGAACATAAGGCAGATTTGAAACACGGTAGGACCAATACCTCGGCCAAGGCTAATCATTGTTTCAAATGCGATGGGTTCACACGAAATAGATTTCTCTAAGACGAAGGTACTTTGTAAGCTCACTGGCTATCAACAAAGATTCGTTCATGAAGCCATCCATATATATAGACACAGCTGCAATTTCAACCGAGAAGATGGGTACAAACTGAGCAATCATTGGAAGGATGTTATCAACCAGTTTAAGTCATAACTGGCTTTGATGTTCCCATCCTACCACCTTCCCATGTTAGTTGTGCTTCACGCCCATTTCAAACTTGCGCGTTCACAGGATTCACACCAACACAGCCACTTCGCGCGCCGACTACCCCTTGGACGCGTGCTTTACGATTTGCCATTAACATGCTAATCTCTCATTAACATGCTAATTTTCACCTGGTAGCCCTTTGATTGGTGGAAACCAACCACTGTCGGGTTGGCTGCCCACCACGTGCATTAACATTGGCTGCTGCCATTTGGGCTACGCCCATTTTAAACCCTAATAAATAGTTTGCCTTTGGAAGCTAACCCCCCTTTTCCTGAAGACGACCGCTTGTGTTGCGATCGAAACGTCGTAGTTTGTTTTTTGTTATTTTCTTTGAACCTAAGTGACTTTACCGAAAGACCCAAAGAATATATTTTCCAGATCTACCTGAAATAGGACAGCCTTCTATCCAGTAGAATGATTGTTTTCTGCTTATTGGGAGGCTTTTCATCCACCCAGTGAGGTGATCTTCTCGTAGGAGCCAGGTTGTCCCAGGATACCCGTGGCTCGTACCTTTGCTGTGATCGAGAACAATAAGCTCCAAGCTGATACAAGATGTGCTGCAAGCCATTCAATTCATGGCTCCTATTTCTGTGATGACTATGAGGGTATTGCGGCAAAACGTTGCTCCTGCGGAGTGATTCAGTTCATCATAAATATGATTTGTGAACAGGGACATTCCCTCAAATGGTTTAAGAGCCAAAGACGTCTTCGAATAAGAAGGCAGGGTCACACTTAACTGCCAAATGGACTGCCTAGCGACCACTGTGCTTGTGGTAGTCTTAGCTGCTAATGACAGTACAACTGTAGAGTAGTGAAACACACGGTGCGCACAGTTAACCGAGGGCAACTAAGGGCAAACAGGCACACGTGAGGTTTGCACGGAAAAACCACCAGTTGTAAGGGGCGAAGCAGGTGCAAACGGGGTCGACCTGTTGTGCACGTTGTGACCAGAGGTGTTGCCAGGGAGAGGGAAGATAAGGGTTGATTGATGTTCCAACAGGATCCAGCCTGGCGAGAGCCTAAAGAGACACACGAGAGGTCTCAGATAATTAGCAGAGGAATATAAAAGGGCGTATGCATGAGCGGAGCGGGGAGTTGTTGCCGGGGACCAAGAGTGACGACATCTCGCCGCTGCCACTCCAGTCGTCAACGGGAACTCAACCCTCATGCCGTCGCCGAGCAGGTGTTGCCTGATCCCCACACCCGGGACAGATGGGTGAGTGGGTCTGAGGGAGCATAGGCGAGGGCAGCGATGGAGATGTAGAGTTGCTGTGTGCAGAGAGGCTGTGTGCGGAGATGCTGTGTGCGAAGTTGCTGAGAGCAAAGCTGCTGAGCGCAGGATAAGGGAGGCAAAAGGTAGATAAGAGTAGGTAGAAGTTAACCATAAGTGACCGTACAGATAGTTATAGGAGTGCCTACAACTGGTGCAAGAATAGGTGAATAAAGTGTAAGCAGGTGACTTGTTACAATGTGTCGGTGTGAGTAATTTTTGAAGACACTACACAACGATGCAGGACAAACCGGCAGCATGGGAGAGGTCCTTAAAGAGTTATTTCTATAGCTCGTTTTCCTTGCTCCCCGTTTTAAATAGTGTAAGATAAACTGAAAGAACATGCCCATTTAGGAAACATAATTTGCTGTCACAGTTACACTTATGGCCAATGTGGGTGCTACTCAACTCCTTCCGCACATACCTAGAGAACTATTCTTTCAGAGAAGGAAACAAGTCCAGAGGTTGTACCATTGTCACATTAACCAACATGCAGAAATCTTGGCCAATGTGACCACATCCCCGGTCGGAACTATGGTGAATCTCTGAACATGAGCCTCCTGGATGAGGTTTACCTCTCCTCCACTGATGCTTGAAGCCTTCTGCCTGGCTTAGTCCACTCATCCGTTATCATTTTTTCTGAACGTATATAAGCAGACCCACCTGTCTCCAGTTTGTCTGGAATAGCAACTACTACTAGCACACTATTTCTCGAGATGACTGGCTTAGCACTATGGTCAGTCCAGAGGTTAACTACTACAAGGACATTTTATATTCTCATTGCTGCAACATGTTAAGACTGGTTCCTCGTTGAGAAAACTAAAAAACTCAGGTCATCACTGTCGTGAGATTTACTTGGTCACACACCCCGAAATAAGCTACATAACTACCACCCGCCACACGACTGCATTGCCACCATATTACTATCGCCACCAACACTACAACTATATTACACCACCCATTCTACCACATTAGCACACCCATACCCACATTACTACCTGGACATCTGTGAAACTATTGGTCATATGTGGAAAAGAGCTGTATAGCTTATCGAATTCCTCCAATATAAATACATATTTTATTCTGACTATCGCCATCTATATCACACCTATTATAGTCCCATTACAATTATTACAACCATCAATATCTTCAATTTTCCCTCACGTCAGCTCAAGAAAAATAATGGGGCCACTACCATCACCACCATACCACAACTACAGTATTTCCTACACAACTATTAGCACCATTAATACACCCTGTATCACTACATCGATTACAATCACCATCATCTTCATCACCACAATTCGCCACCACAGCCTTAACCATCACCACAACCTCATCACTAATCCACCAGCTCCTCCATCACCGCAGAAATGACCACCACCACCACAGCCCCATCAATGTAACAATCCTCACCAGAATCTTCTCCTGTCACTCACCATCCCCACCACCACTATGAACACCACCATCTCCTCTATTTCTCAAAGCTGTCCACAACACCCCCTCCAAACCAATTAGCATAACCATTTCCACCAGAATCGCAACACAATCCCCACGTCCATCACCACAAACAAAGCCATCACTATCACTCCCACCCCCACCACTTAACCATCAGTAACCACAATACACCACCATTTCCATTACAATTGTCACAACTCCACTACAATTTTCACCAGAAACTGTATCATCACCACAGCCATCCATTTCACTACCACCACCGTCTCCTCGACCAACACCAACAAAGACGATCACCGCCTTTCATCACCGCAGTCACCGACTCCACCACCGCGCATCTCAACCACCACAAACCCACCGCAGTCGTGTGACGGCATCGGTGGTAACACCAAGCCGAGGCGGACTACGCCTCTCGCGGGAGACAAAGACGCGTGGGAGGACCCTTGCGACTGAGGCGGGGAGAACGATGAGGCAGGGGGAGGAGGATGAGGAGTAGGAGAGGGAGACGCGGCCACGGTGCCGCCTGTCCGGGGCCGCGGCCCTGCCGCGCGGGCGCTAGTGGCCGTTTGTTGCGACGGCCACACGCACACGCGGCGTTGCGCACTCACACACGAGACACATTGCATAATACAACTACCCAGGATTTATTAATCCTAGACGGATAACGCGAACGGCGTTTACGACTTTATCGATTAAAGTGTAAAGTGGTTAAACAATACAACAGAAATGTTTTTTTTTTACCTCATAGACTTCCGACGCCATGGTGCTAGCGGAGCGACGATTCACCGCCTACAGCGCGCGACCCAAGTTTCCCGCGCCCCCACACCCCCCGCCCCTCCCCCTATCCCCCGCCCCTCCCCCTAGTCACGGCCCCTCCCCCTATCCCCCGCCCCTCCCCCTATCCCCCGCCCCTCCCCCTTTCCCCGCCCCTCAGCTCCACTCTCCCGCAGTCTCGTTCCCCGTAGCCCCGCCCCTCCGCGCACGGGTGATGACGTCACGATCCCCCCCCCCGCTCTCACTCGATGAAGTGTCGATTCGATTACCGTTACACTCGAATCGATTCCTTTCGTCCCGTTTGAACTGCCCACATGGTCCTGTGTGGCCACGTGTGCGTTGGCTCGCCTCGCACTCTCTATGCTGCTCAACTTGTACTGCCTTATGTAGTTTCCTGACGTAGTATGTATGGAACTGTGCTGTTTGGTTTGTACTGCCTGTTCCTTGGCTTGGTTGTACGTATTGTCTGCACCGTGTCCTGCACCGTCCTTTCATGCGGTCACGTCTGTTTTGCCATTATCCTTGTTTCATCTGCAATTTTCGTTTTGTATCATCTAGTATTATCGATTGATTTTGATAATGCTAAAGTTCTGTGCACAGTTTGTTACAACTGTCCAAGACTAATGAGATAATCTTATAAAAATGTAGAGAAATCTAAATAATTTAACCTTTCAGATAGCTCCGGACTTCGTGCTGCTTGAAAGCGAATCATCAAGTAATACATTAAAATGCGTGGCTGTAAAGGTCACCGTACTTCAATAGGGATTACCGTTGAACGATAATGGGTACGGCTATTTTAGTGCACACAATCGACAAGTACACAAACAATGGGCTTGCATAATGTGCGTTTATTACCATACAAATAGCCCAACTGGCAATGGATACACAGAGTCATGAATTCATTAATCCTCCCTGCCACTTCGGGCAAGAAGTTGCTCACAATTGTTACCCCGCCAAGGAACGAAACGATAGGAGGGTTTAAATTTCGATTTAAAGCTTCTTTCGTGACTGCAGGGATTCATCTGCTTGGTTCTTTCGGTAAAGTCACGTAGAAGGGAAGTAATAAAATAATACAAATAAAACAATAAAATATTTCTTACGACGTTTCGGCCACAACGCAAGCAGCCGTCCTCAGGTGAAGACCAGGTCTGTCGGGGAGACAGCGTCTGAATGAAACACCACCACGCTTGGAGCGTATATTTAAGCTGGGTTGGAAGGGGGGAAGGGCGCCTTGACAAAAGCTTTTGCATATCAAGAGGAATTTAGCATATTTATGGAAATGCAGGTATGTGATTAGTACTAGTTGTGAAATGCGTAGGAGGTGGGCGGGGGGAAGTCATTATGCCCGTGCATTATGCAGGATTAGCAGCATCAAAGGGAGGGGATAGGGGTAGCATTAATACTGGTAGGAACGAAGTGGACCAGACCACCAATAGATTAATGTGTCCGTCCGTCTGTCCGACTGTCCGTCCGTCCGTCCGTGTATCAACATCGCCCCCTACTGCAAACACTTGGCATGACCCTACAAAAACCTTTAGACTCAGTGACGCTATCCTGGCAGCAACATCGCCCCCTACTGCAAACACTTGGCATGACACGTGTAACATTCCCTTATTCCCTGAGATAGCTTTTAATTAAAACTTTGAAATTAAATTAAAAAAACTCACAGCGCCCTAAAGCCTACAGCTAGGCCTAAAGCCTAGAACTAGGCCTGAAACTCTCCCTTCGTATCGTACCCCCGCGTGTGTGAAAGGGAGTTATGTTTAACAATGTTACATTCCCTCATGTTTTTAAATAGAAACATTTAAATTTAAAGCTTTTACATAAATCATTAAAACATTTAAATTAAAAATTAACTCACAGCGCCCTAAAGCCTACAGCTAGGCCTAAAGCTGAGAACTAGGCCTCAATCTCTCTCTTCGTATCGTCCGATTTGGTGTAGCAACATCGCCCCCTACTGCAAACACTTGGCAGGACCCTACAAAAACCTTTGACTCAGTGGGGCTTTCCTGGCTTAACAAGTGTAATAATAAACTTCGCTTCAAATTTACTTCACTGAAACGCAGCACGTTTTTTTAACACAGAGACAAAAAACATTTATTAACACAGAGACGAGATACATTTAATCGCCTTAATTGTTCACGAAAAGCACGGCGCGAGGCCTAGTGCGGCAGGCTTCGCGAGGCCTAGTGCGGCAGGCTTATGAACACAGAGATGAAACGCAGCACGTTTATTTAAAAAACAAATTTACTTTACTGAAACGCAGCACGTTTTTTTAACACAGAGACAAGAAACATTTATTAACACAGAGACGAGATACATTTAATCGCCTTAATTGTTCACGAAAAGCACGGCAGCGTGGCCTAGTGCGACAGGCTTCGCGAGGCCTAGTGAGGCAGGCTTCGCGAGGCCTAGTGCAGAAGGTGGTGGTGGGGGGTGGTGGGGTGGTGGTGGTGGGTGGTGGTGAGGGCTGGTGTGAGGGGTGGTGTTGAGGGTGGTGTTAGGGGGTCTTTAAATCTCACAGCGTTTCTTGTCAAAACAAACACTTTTAATTACGTTACACTAGAATACAGTAATTTTTTCTTTAACTCCTCTATACCCGGTCGATATCCCTGTACCGGTACTAAGTATTATTCCTACCAGCCCACCCCGCAGGGTCCTGTTAAAGGGAAGGAATGTTAATAGTATGTAGCTGCAGTAACTAAACAACCACGTAAAAAACTAAAGTATAAACTACATAGTATCAGTATACTAAATATACTCTCCAATAAGCTGAGCTTACGTAGTTGTTTAGTTACTGCAGCTACATACTATTAACATTCCTTCCCTTTATTAATGCTACCCCTATCCCCTCCCTTTGATGCTGCTAATCCTGCATAATGCACGGGCATAATATGACTTTGAAACCCCCCGCCCACCTCCTACGTATTTCACAAGTAGTACTAATCACATACCTGCATTTCCCATAAATATGCTAAATTCCTATTGATATGCAAATTATTTTGTCAAGGCGCCATTCCCCCCTTCCAACCCAGCTTAAATATACGCTCCAAGCGTGGTGGTGTTTCATTCAAACGCAGACCAGGTCTTCACCTGAGGACAGCTGCTTGTGTTGTGGCCGAAACGTCGTGAGAATTATTTTATTATGTTTTATTTTTATTATTTTATTATTTCCCTTCTACGTGACTTTACCGAAAGAACCAAGAAGATGATAGGAGGGTTTCTCCACAATTCTGGTCGTCACACGGTGAGGCTACTTGTAATTGCTGGCGAAACGTACTCAAGAACGTAAATGGTGTGGTTTAGCTCTCCAACACCGGTGTGCTGCACCAGTAACGAATTGGCACGTTCTGTTTACGTGACAAACCTTACTAATTGGCTGTGTAGGGTGGTGGCGGTTTTAACGACACATTTTTTAAAAGATGTTTTCTTGTTCATGTTTTTGTTTGTTGTGGTTGTACCCAATTCAAGAGCCGAATGGCTCACAGGGCTCTATACCAAATAAATGAAAAAAATGAAATTGAAATTTACACGATCTAACCCAAAAAAACCTGTACTTTGGACCTTCTGTATCGTCTCCTTTGTACTGTAGATTCACTATGCTCCCAATACAAAATAATCGATTCTCACGCGATGCCAGACGTGTATCTTAAGAAATCAAATTGTACAGTACTGTATACAGTACGGTGTACTGTCGCTGTCACATGCCCCCCCAGCCCCGCCCCTCACTGCCGCGTGCCGCCATGTCACGTGTCACAACAAAATGGTGGCAAATATGAGGCCTACTCGGGCTTCAGTGATGGCCGCAGGGATTTTGTTGAGGGAAACGAATTTTGCATTGAAATGACTGAGAAATAATCACAACAATAAGAAATTTAGTACAACATGGCGTAAACGGGTCAATGGTCTAGAAATAATAATTCTTCAACTGTACGCCGAAGATTGCCACCTGTGTCGGCTCTGGCATTCAAATCTTGACCCACCTGCTCTCGATCATTTTCCAACCAAACTTTCTTGAAAACTCTGCTGTGTCCATTTGTCACCTGCCTCTTGAACATATCCCTTTGGTATGGCTCAGTTCCCTCTCTTTTCAAACACGCAGTTGTCACTCCACTCAAAAGAACAACTTGATTACTACCAAACAACTATCGCCCTATCTGCCCCTAATTTCCAAGGCTCTCGAACGTGTAGTTGTCTCTCGGACCAGCACCATCTACTTTCTAATGACTCCTTGACCCTTGCCAATCTGGTTTTTGGCCTGGCCACAGCACTGAGATGGGCCTTGGTGAGGTTGGTAAATTATTTATTGACTGCTGATGACATTGGCTCACCCAGTATTCTAGATCTACTTGACCTGAGTGCCGCTTTTCATACCATCGACCATGGTGTCCTGCTTGAATGATTGGAAAATGCTAATGGTACCACACTATGCTGGATTATCGCCTCTTTGTTGAATCACAACCAATGTCTTAGCCTGTGTGGCTAAGACAACCAGCAGTTTCTTTTGGCATCCTCCGGTGCTCTGGAGGAGCAGCTGCTCGACTCTAAGGCTCTTCCACGCAGCTCGCACGAATGCGCTGTCCAACCAAGTTCCTACCTGCCCACTCCGAAGGAACGTGTTTGGGTTTAGTCTTCGGGTCATAAACGAAGTGGGCGGGGCTAGTGATGTTAATGTGATACATTAGCATGTTAATGTAGGATCGAGAGCGGCCTCCGCGACTAGTGTGCGGGTGGCTATGTTAATGTGAGAGATTAGCATGTTAATGTGAGAGATTAGCATGTTAATGTGAGATCGCAGAGCCACCGCGACGTAGAGGTCGTCGTCCGGAGGTGGCCACGTTGGCATGAGAAATTCAACCTGTTAATGTGAAATCAGAGAACTAAAGCCACGGGGAAAAAAATATAAAAAATGAACATCGGAAGGTGGCAGGATGGGAACATCACAGTCAGTTATGACTTAAACTGGTTGGTGACGTCTTTCCAATGATTGCCGAGTTTGTACCCATCCTCATAGTTGAAATTGTGTACTGTGTATTAATGGTTGGCTTCATGAACGAATCTTTGTCGATAGCTAG